GAGAGGGTGAAATCAAGCTGCTCCTTGGAGACAAGGATTCTGAAGCTTCATCTGACATACTTTCGACATGTTGCATCGGGGAACCAGTCCTTGGAGAAGGATGGCGTATTTGGGAGAGTGGAAGGATAGTGCAAGAGAAGAAGACTATTGATGCGATGGATTGATTCAGTGACTGGAGTAATAAGATCGACACAGGCCAGAGAAGGGTTTAAGGCTGTTGCATGTAGGGTTGCTATGAGTTGCAGGCAACTTGATGCCATATAACAACAAAAACAACAACAATGACATTATTAACTGCTGAAAGTTAAAAACCAAATCCAAAACAAAGAAACAGAAAACTCTGCCTTTGAGTGTTTCCTGGAGAAAAGGTACTGAGTTTCAGTGGCTATAAATTTTTACTTCTCCTATAATGTAACTGATGGATTGGAACCACGAATCTTTCAATTATCAGCCCTATATGTAGGGCAGTACAAAAAACCCAGACATCGTTGTTGTGGGCAGGGGAGTTCAAAGAATGCAGACAAAAGATCAAAAAATATGAAGATTTATAAAATAATTTATTTATTTATACATTTTTTTATATCTAGAAGTTTGTATTTACTTTAGAATTGAAGGCTGCTTAAATTACTCAAATCATCAAAAATAACAGGATTCTGAGCTCTGGTTGCATATATCTACAGAATCATTTAAATTGATATTTTAAATGTTTAAAAGTATTTATCTACAAATCCTTCTCTATCACCAAATAAGTGGAATATTAAAGGAAATGAAGTATAAAATACGAAAATACCAGAACACAATTCAGAATAGTGTGACAACACATAACATTACCAACAGGTTCTGTAATACTACCAATCACAGCTTCATATATGTCACATAAACACTGCAACACCTTAACAGACTAAAAATAATGTTCATTTATGTTAAAAGCCAACTGTAGAAGAGAGCATTTTAGTAAACATAAAAGCTGCTCTAGGTTAAAAAGAGATTAATTTATGAATTCATTACTGTAATTTTTTTAAGAGTTCAAGATTTCAAGACTCTCTAAAGTTCTTTAACACTATTTTAAAACTCTTACCCAGGGAGGATACTCACCCCATCTGGCCTGCCATCTGAAGCTGTGACAATCAGAATATAGCGATCGGTGCTTTCTCTGTCCAGTGCTTTTCCTAAGGTTAGAATCCCAGTACTAGTGACAGAGAAGACAAGCACGTAAAACACAAAAATAGACGTTACGTTAAGAGAACATTCCTGCTGTTGTAAACTAGTTTCACAAACTTTTCTCCTAAGTAATCATAGCTCAACTATTTTAGATGGATAATTGTAGCATTCACATTAGAAATTTGTATATGTCTTAAACATGTATATTTTTTTAGCAAAATGTTAAAAATGGCAAAACTGAGTGAGATAACTGAGTTTATTTTCAACCATTCAGGGGGAAGAAAGGCTACCTAAAATCAAACTATGTTTTATAAATTTGGGGGAAAATATGACCATCATGTTTGTGAAGATTTAAGTGTTAAAATTTCCATAATTCTTTACCAGTGTAACAAGTTTTAGAGCAAGGAAGATATTTTTATAGCTAATTGAAATAATTCTTCACACACACCCCCCATGTATGTCCCTAATAGGAATAAAAGGTTTAGGGGAGTTCTGGTGGCCTAGTGGCAAAATTTGGGCTGCACTCCTGAAGGCACACTGTTCGAATCCACCAGCTGCTCTGTGGGAGAAAGATTGGCAGTCTTCTCCCGTGCAATTAACAGCCTCTGAAAACCCACCAAAGGGTCAGATATAGGCTGGTACTTGATGGTACACAACAGTAACTATGATGGAAATATAAAAAATTAACTACATATATGATGAACTGTAGATTAATTAAAAAAATAATTATGCTACTTAAGCAGCACATCAACAGAGAACTA